CAAACATTAGACAGAACTTCAAACAGTACAAAGAAGGTGATTTGAAATACCTGAAGTTGTTATTATATGATACAGCTAGACATTTATATTGCTTACTTGTAGGTGCTGCTGTTTGAGATTCAGTTCTAAAAGAGCTTGTACTGGCAGGGAGTGCTGAAATATTTTGATGTATTAAGAAATAGAAAAACTTGAGAATAACCATAAAATAACTGATATTGTCACAGTTGCATGACAAAAACAAAGGGAGTACTGCAAGTTTACCCAATAGTCTATGAATAAAAATACTTACTTGAAGGAGTTGTAGATGTTTGAGTCTCAGCTGACGGAGTGTTTGTTGTGGCAGAGGCTGCTGAGACATTTTGATGAAGAAATATGAACACAATTTTCTTAATATTTGATGACATGCTTACGAAAACACAATAAATGCAGTCAGGATATGAATTGCAAAGAAACTCTTACATATTTATAATACAAACGCTAAAAGGAACTTTAAACATAATTCATTTTCTTATTATTTAAGATACTGTTTGCTATTTAGGAGGTAAATTGGAATACCTGTAATAATGAATATTATAATTTACATTAACAGCCAAACGGTAAACCGTCCTGAAAATTAGTTATATATATATATATATATATATATATATATATATATATATATATACAGTGTTTTAGACTTGAGCTTGTACTGGCAGGAGATGCTGAAATATGAAATATTTAGCTATTTTAGGAAGCTGATGGCTATCAAGACAAATGAGGCAGAGAACTCACAAAATTGTAAATAATTTTAATAATGACAATACAAACAAGCGGCATCTTCTCAAGGATGCTACCACCAAACTGAAAGTAAAACGAAACACAAATGTCCAGGTCTGCTCCTCTCTTGTCTTTCACTGCTGCCTCTCCTCCTTTTAATATCCTTCGTGAGACTCGAGACAGGTGGCGCATACAGGTGTAGGTTGTTAGCACTCATGCCACCAGCCTCGCATGCCCTCACAGCTCTCGGCCCTGCCCCACTTGCTACAAACGTTTTAATACAGAATATAAAAACGTTCATTAAAAAATTACAAATAAGAAAATGCGTAGAGCCTTTACAGAATTATAATACCATGGCAGTCCTTATACCAACACAGCAGAGTTCCAACACCTCTAATTGAGCAGGACCTATAATTAGCATTTACCCATAAATATGCCACAAAATAATCCATGAATTAAAAAAAACCTACTTGAAGGAGCTGATGTTGAAGACACAGATGATGGAAAGTTTGTTGAAGCAGAAGCTGCTAAGACATTTTGACGAAAAAAAGAGATAGAAATTAAATTACTATTTCTTTTTGTGTGTTCACATGTTTACAGAAACTGGTTTAAATACAATGAATTCTGCACTGCAACAAACATTATTATACAGATTTTAACATGATCATTAGATTGAGTTGCTTACAATACAATATTTTTTATATAATTTAAGACATTGCTGCTTGATGCTCAGGAACTGATTTGAAACACCTAAACTACTGATTATTAAATAAAGTTAACCACAATAGTATTTATATATACGTGTATATATGTCTATATTTTTTCTCGATAATCTACAGAACAAACAATGGTTATACAATAACTTGCCAAATTACCCTAACCTGCCTAGTTAACCTAATTAACCTCGTTAAGTCTTTAAATGTCACTTTAAGCTGTATAGAAGTGCCATGAAAAAAATCTAGTAAAATATTATTTACTGTCATCATGGCAAAGTTAAAATAAATCTGTTATTAGAAATGAGTTATTAAAATTCTTATGTTTGGAAATATGTTGAACATATCTTCTCTCCGTTAAACAGAAATTGGGGAAAAAATAAAAAAGCGGTCTAATAATTCAGTTTAATAATTCTGACTTCAACTGTATATATATATATATATATATATATATATATATATATACATACACACAGTTAAAGTCAGAATTATTAAACTGAATTATTAGACCGCTTTTTTATTTTTCCCCAATTTTTTATTTAATATTTTTAAATAATTTTCACAGTATGTCTGATAATATTTTTTCTTCTAGAGAAAGTTTTATTTGTTTTATTTTGGTTATTATTTAATTTTTAAAAAAAACATTTTAAGGTCAAAATTATTAGTCTCTTTAAGCTAATTTTTTTAAAAATAGTCTACAGAACAAACCATCGTCACACGATAACTTGCCCAATTACCCTAACCTGCCTAGTTAACCTAATTAACCTAATTAAGCCTTTAAATGTTACTTTAAGCTGTATAGAAGTGTCTTGAAAAATATCTGGTAAGATAATATTTACTGTCCTCATGGCAAAAATATAATAAATCAGATATTAGAAATGAGTTGTTAAAACTAATATTTAGAAATGTGTTGACAATTGGGGCAAAGGACGCTGGCAACGTGGCTTGCTACTCATTTCACCACCACACATCCAGCTCACAAGTCGAATCCAGTTCTCCAGCTCACAAGATGGCTGCCTCTAGTCCTCTAGCTCACAGGATGGCTGCCTCTAGTCCTTCAGCTCACAAGATGGCCGCTTTCTGTCTGCCAGTTCACAAAATGGCCACATCCAGTCCTCCAGCTCACAAAGTGGTCACAACCGGCCCTCCAGCTCACAATGTGGTAAGTGCCAATCTGCCACTAGATCACAAGATGGCTTCTTGTTCCGAGTCTGTTCCTGCCATAGTTCATGTCCCAGAATGACCACCACCACCTGAGTTGCCAGAGCTGCTCCCACCACCAGAGCTGTTACTGCCAGAGCTGCCACCACCACCTCCAGAGCTGTCAGATCCTCAGTCACTGCCAGAGCTGCCACCACCACATCCGGAGCTGTCAGATCCTCAGTCACTGCCAGAGCTGAAACCACCACATCCGGAGCAGTCATATCCTCAGTCACTGCCAGAGCTGTCGCCACCACCACTTCCGGAGCTGCCAGATCCTCCAGACCTGCCAGATCCTCAGTCACTTCCAGAGTTGCCAGATCCTCAGTTACAGCCAGAGCTACCAGAGCTGCTGTCATTAGTGCTGCCACCACCAGAGCCATTGCCAGAGCCACCGCCACCAGAGCTACCAGAGTCACTGCTGCCGCCGCCTGAGCTTCCTGAGTGGCCAGCGCCGCCACCTGAGCTTCCTGAATGGCCGCCGCCTGAGCTTTCTGAATGGCCGCCGCCTGAGCTTTCTGAATGGCCGCCGCTGCCTGAGCTTCCTGAATGGCCGCCGCCTGAACTTCCTGAATAGACGCAGCCGCCTCAGTTCCAGGAAAGGCTGCCAAAGCAGAGTGATTTCCCTGAGCCGCCAGAGCCATGTGATTTCCCAGAGCCATGTGACCTCCCAGAACATCCTGACCCACTGGGGTTTAAAGAACTGCCAGTGCCTCCTGTGCTCAAGCCTCCTGACCCACTGGGGTTTAAAGAACTGCCAGTGCCTCCTAAGCCTCCTGATCAACTGGGATACGAAGAACTGCCAGTGCCTCTTGTGCCTAAGCCTCCCGACCCACTGGGGTTTGAAGAACTGCCAGTGCCTCCTGTGCCCAAGCCTTCTGACCCACTGGGGCTCAAAGAGATGCCAGTGCTCTCTGAACCAAAGCCTCCCGACCCACTGTGTGTGTTTAACCCTTCTTTGCCTGCTGAACCCAAGCCCCCAGACATACCAGAGCTCGAGGTTCCAGGCCCACTGCATCCTCATGATCCAGGGCCACTGCAGCTCCACGCTCCAGGCCCTCCGCAGCTCCACGCTCCAGGCCCTTCGCAGCTCCACGCTCCAGGCCTTCCGCAGCTCCACGCCCCAGGTACGGCCCAGCTGCATGGTCCTGGTCCTCCATCCCTCCCCCTGTTATGCCTCCGCTCCACCTCCCGCCTGAAGAGTATTAGGAGTGTCTGGAAGCCACTCCTTAGAGGGGGGCTCTGTCACAATCACCAGCGACCTCTAATCACCAGAGATCACTGGAAAACCTTCACTCTCATAGAACTACAAATTTGCTTGTAAATGGACTACATATTCAGTCATGCTACACACACACACACACCTGCTTCATCATTTAGACTGATTACACTTTCACCACCTGAGGATTGTCAAAGACTGATTACACACACTATTTAAGCAGAACACACACACTCATTCACATTGCCGAGTCTTGTTTATCTGTAAGGTGACATTCCAACGCGTTATCCTTGTCTTGTTTTCCTGTGTTTAGACCTTAGCCTAGTTAGCCGTTTGTCCGAGTCTGCCGCCTGCCTTACTACCTCTCGCCTGTTATTTTGACTACGTTTCTGGATTGCCTTTATATACCTGTTTGCACCCGTATTGACGATTGCTTGCCTGACTCCGAATAAACCTGCAAGTGGATCCAAACTCAGTTGTCTCTGTCACTCCCCGTGTTACGTTATATATATGTGTGTGTATATATATATATATATATATATATATATATATATATATATATATATATATATATATATATATATAGATAGATAGATAGATAGATAGATATAGATATAGATATTACATTCACTCTAGTGAACTGCATCCATGTTAGCACTTCATGTTTGATGTGGCAATTTCACAGTAGGAATACACACAGGTTCGAGACTCGTTCTCGACACCTACAGCGCAATTTGGCCAGATATACATCCGCGCTAAAATATCAAGGTGGAAGTCATCATAGCTTGCGTAAAACAGACCAAACCCAACTTTGAGAATAGGTTAACGACTATATATTTTTTATCACCCGATAAGAGTCTTGCGTTAACCCCAATCTAATCCTGTTTATATGAAATAAACCTGCTCCTGAGCAGGTTTAAGCTACCAAAACTGTTGCTATGCCAACAATTCTCGGATGAGTTTTGAAGAACGAAACATTGCGACATTGTCAAATCGTTATCAACCAAATCGAGCTAAATGAGTAATCCACATACGAAGAATAGTAATCTGAACTACAGATTATTTTTATGTACATTAGCCACAATAGTGTTATATTTCAAAATATTACTTACTTGTAGGTTCTGCTGTTTGAGTCTCAGTTGTAGAAGAGCTTGTACTGGCAGGAGATGCTGAAATATTGATGTATTGATAAAATGGAAAGTTAATTTTGACTACATAATTCTTAAAGAGACACTTTTACTTTACATAAAATCTGTACAGCAGGAAATATTAGAATAGAACGACTTCAACTATAAACTGCATAAAATTACTTACTTGTTAGTGCTGCTGGTTGAGTCTCAGTTGTAGAAGAGCTTGTACTGGCAGGAGATGCTGAAATATTTAGATACATAAACATTTTAGCCAATGATACTTAGACAGTTGTACTGGCAACTAGAGCTAAAATATTTAAATGTATAAAAAAACTGAAAAGATATATTGCACAACAATAACAGCAATGTAATTACATTAATAGGTCAATTAATATTGAACAAATCTTTACAGAAAAATTTATTTCTAAATGTGCTGCTAACAAGAAATTCTACCAGATTTCAGTAAAAACTGAAACAAGTCAATAATACAAATGCATAATCAAATGTAATACAAATAGTGTACATTCAAATATACAATACCCTTTTTTCAGAAATTTTGTGTAATAACAAGGAAACAACAGAGAATATACCAAACCACTGAAATGTATTAAATATATTAATATATTATATACATTGTATAAAATGTATCTCTTGTATGGAGAATGGAGCCACATGCATAGATCAGGTGTGATTTTTATCACATATTTTGACTTAGTCTTTACATATTGACAGTTCTATGTGACTCATCTATGAACTCTGAACTTTAATTCTTTTTTTTTCTATACGATTCAGCTCGGGTGATTGGCCGGGCCAATTTAGCACCTTTTTTTGTTGTTGTTGTCTGAAACCAGTTTGCCTTGGTCAGTGTTTGGGATCATTGTCCTGCTGAAACAACCACCCTGGTTTCATCTTCATCATCTATTAATATTTGGTGTTGGACAAAGGCAGCTAACATTCATTTACTGTGATGAGAAACTGGGTTGTCGGGAGATTTTTGCAGCTGTCTGGTCTTGTCATGTCCTTTTACACCTTCCTTTCTTCGTGTGTTCAAACCTTTTCCTCTGTGTCATATAATTCCATTACATATAACTTAATTTCTTAACTAATCTGTTTTTTTTTTTCTTTGTATGTATTGACTACTTTGGTTGTTACTGACTTCTGCTTAAAATGACAAATGTTCACACAATAGTCCATAGTTCAAAAACTCACTTAAAGGAGTTAATGTTGGAGACACCTCCCTGAAATAGTCTTCAGACAACTGGACATATATATTATTACTTACTTGTTGATGCTGCTGTTTGAGACTCAGTTGTAGAAGAGCTTGTACTGACAGGAGATGCTGAAATATTTAGATATATTAAGAATTACCTTGATATTGCAGTAAAACGGAAAATGATGCTTAAAAACAAGTAGATCCTTAAAAATGAGTGGAACCTTTACAAAGATATAGTATTATGGCAGTCCTTATGCAAAAGTATAATTACAACACATGCAACACAACATCTCCCAATTTAATTGTTCACACATTAAAACTTACTTGACAGAGCTGATGTTAGATACACTATTGATGGAGATCTTGTTGTAGCAGAGGCTGCTGGGACATTTTAATTTTAAGACATTAGAAATGTTTAGAGTAAAAGATATTTTTTTTTATTATTGCAAATACTGATGCTTGTGCTCGGGAGATGATTTAAAACACTTGAACTACTGATTATTATATTAATAATCATTAATCACACCTACAGTATGTTCGAACAACTGTACACTCCCTGACAATTATCCTGTCGCCTATCCAAGTTTAAGGAACACTTCAAGTTGATCATTTGGTGTCAGAAGTTGCTTATATTCCTGGAGATTGACCTTTCTGCAAAGTTCAGCTCCAACCCTGATCGAACACACCTGAACTAAATAATTAGGACCTGAACAGCACTTGATAATTACAGGCAGGTGTGTTTGATATGGGTTGCAACTGAAATCTGCAGGAAGGTCGATCGCCAGGAACAGGGTTGATCATGCCTGCCAGACATGCTCAATAATGCTCATCTCTGATTACTTGGCTGGCCAATCCTGGAGCACCTTGACCTTCTTTGCTTTCAGGAATTGTCATGTAGGGGCTGAAGTATGAAAACAAGAGCTGTCCTGCTGAAGAATTTGCCCTTTCCTGTTGTTTGTAATGTAATGGGCAGCACAAATGTCTTAATACCTCAGGCTGTTGATGTTGCCATCCACTCTGCAGATCTCTGAATCTAAAACCATGAATTTTCCTTAATTAAACTTGACTGATTTCTGTGAGAATCTTGGTTCCATGCGGGTTCCAATAGGTCCTCTGCAGTATTTGTGATATTTGCAGTTCAACAGATGATTCATCAGAAAAATCTACCTTCTGCCACTTTTACAAATGATCAACTAGAAGTCAATTATTTGTTGCTCCTACAACTGGGATCGACGACAAGACTTTTGCCAGGTAGTGTACATATATATGACTTACTTGTAGGTTCTGCTGTTTGAGACTCAGTTCCAGAGGCTCTTGTACTGGCAGGAGATGCTGAAATATTTAGATGTATTAAGAAAAAGAACATTTTGAGAAAGATTTTGGATATTGTTACAGCTATATTACTAGGACAGTGGGATTCCAGCAAGATTTTTTAAACTAAAAGTTCCCGCAATAGTCCACAATTAAAAATACTCACTTGAAGCAGTTGTGGACGCTTGAGTCTCAGTTGAAAGAGTGTTTGTTGTGGCAGAGGCTGCTGAGACAATTTGATGAAGAAATATGAACTAAATTTTCCTAAATTTTTGTAAACATGCTTAAAGAATATGATATAAAATTAGAATTTAGCAATGCAAGATATAATATAAATATGAGAGAGAACTTTAAACAGTTTACTTGGGTAATTTGAAATACCGGTATCACTTTATTTTGATGCTCCCTCTAACACATTTTGTTGAATTTAAGTTACAGTACATTGCATCTACATGCCAACTAATTCTCAACAGATTATAAGTAGAATGTTAAGTTGGGGTTAGGGTAAGGGTTAGTTAAAGTTGACATGCACTTGCAAATTTTCTTAGTTAAATGTTGAAGGAGCAGTATCAGTAGATATTAAGCAAACAGTCTACTAATACTCAAATGAGTATCAATTGGCATGTAGTTGCAATGCAACTTTTAGTCAACAAAATGTGCAATAGGCACCTTCAAAATAAAGTTTTTCCGAAATACCTTTACTAATTCAATAATTTAAATTATTTCAGGCAAGTTTTACCCTTTTACTGTTGTGGTCAGACAAATGTACATATACATGGCTTACTTGTAGGTTCTGCTGTTTGAGATTCAGATGTAAAAGAGCTTGAACTGGTAGGTAGTCCTGAAATATTTATATGTATTAAAAATCCGAACTTAATTTTGAAAAAAAATTAAGCAGAAAGGCTTAAAAGGATACTTTTGTATGCTATAAATTTCATACAGCAAGAAATTATAGAATAGAATACAACTTTAAACTGTAAATTGAAAATGAGGTGGATATTGCACAAAATCATTAGTTAACATTTTAGCCTTCTTGGTTTTGTCAACTCAAAACTAATCCTGTAATCCTTAGTTTGTTCAGACATCATAGAATAGGTCTTATTAATTTGAAAATAAATAATAAAATAAAATATATTTTTTAAACAAAATAAAACAATAAAAATACTAGGAAAGCAGAATTTCACTGAGAAATGGTTTTTGTGATTTTTACATTTTTTATAGTTCATTACATATTTGCTCTATGACAAACATAAAAGAGTATTAAAAAAAGAGCAAAGGTTTAGAACACTACACAAGTATATTACTTACTTATAGGTTCCGCTGTTTGAGTCTCAGTTGTAGAAGAGCTTGTACTTTGAGGTGGTGCTGAAATATTTACATATATTCAAATTTTGAACTACTGCACAAAATCACATCATTTATATAAAAAAATTATAAATATTTAAAAGTGTGTGTGTGTGTGTGTGTGTGTGTGTGTGTGTGTGTGTGTGTGTGTGTGTGTATATATATATTTTTTTTTTTTTTTCAAAAATATGATATTTTGAGTCTCAATACACATTGGAATTTTAACACCTCTATTTAAGCTGAATCTATAACTATATTTTCCAATTAAAACGTTCACACAATAATCCATGAATTAAATACTCACAAGAATGACCTGATGCTGGAGACACAGTTGATGGGGAGTTTGATGTGGCAGAGGCTGCTGGGACATTTAATGAAGAAAGAATTCCAATATATTTATCATATTCCAATCATCCACAAAGGACCATGAATAAAAAAACAAAACTCACTTGAGGGAGCTGATGTTTGAGAGACAGCTGATGGGGAGTTTGTTGTAGCGGAGGCTGCTTTAATGAAAAAATTTAAGTTACAGTTTCAACCACAACACCACAATAGTGTTCAGACAACTGTACATGACTTACTTATAGGTTCTGCTGTTGGAGACTCAGTTGTAGAAGAAATTGTACTGACAGGAGATGCTGAAATATTTAGATGCATTAAAAATATAATATTTGTGATTTAAAAACATTGCAATATTTAATCACACTTATACACAATAATCCTGTAGTTTAAAAAAAATGATATTTTGACATTTACATGACAAGCACTATAGTATTTCAGCTAGTTTTAAAACTAAAATGTTCACTTTATAAACCATAAAAATAAAAAAAATAAAAACTCACTTGAAGGAGCTGATATTGGAGACCCTGTTGCAGAGTTTGCTGTGGCAGAGGCTGCTGAGACATTTTGATAAATAAGTGAATGAATAAATGAATGAATAAATAAATGAACAAAGATTTTCACACATTTTGTAAAAATATTGCAATACATTAGCATGAAAATACAATAGTAAAATAGCAAAACAGTAAAATACCAAAGATTTACTAATAAAGAGTTTAGACAACTGTACATATGTATAACCTTTTAAATGGTTCAGACAACTATATATATCTGACTTACTTGTAGGTTCTGCTGTTTGAAACTCAGCTGTAGAAGAGCTTGTATTGGTAGGAGATGCTGAAATATTTATATGTATTAAAAATTAGAAGCAATACTGCACAAAATCACAGACATTAAATAAAAAAATGTAGATATTCATAAGTAAATAGAACTTTTTCAAAATATGTTATCATTATAATAGAATTCAAACAACTCTAATTAAGCTGGATCTGTAACTATCATTTGCTAAGTTAAATGCTTCCACAATAATCCATTAATGAAATACTCACTTGAAGGAGCTGATGTTGGAGACACAGATGATAGAGAGTTTGTTGTAGCAGAGACTGCTGGGACATTTTAATGGGTGACATTTAATGATATGATAAAATAATAGATGTTTAAAATGAGTAGACACTTTAAACATCTGATATCGTGAAAGTCCTAATACAAAAACAGTAGAATTCCACCATATCTAATCATGCTGAACCTATAAGTATCACGTTATAATTAATTTCTGCATTAAATGTTCATACAATATTGCATGAATAAAAATAAAACAAAAGGAGCTGAGGTTGAAGACACAGTTGATGGAGAGTTTGTTAAAGCAGAGGCTGCTTTGATTAAAAAAAAAAAACTGGGTCCCACTTTATATTAAGTGGCCTTAACTAATATGTACTTACACAGGAATTAATAGTTTGTTACAATATACTTATTGTGTAAATACATGTATTTACTATGTACTTAAGCTTGATTAAATACATGTATGTAATTACATCTGTAATTAACTTTTGTATTTACATTTGTAAATATACTGTTGACCATACCTTACACCTTAACCCACCCAAACCTGTCCATAACCCAACCTCTATCCAGACTCAAAAGCACCACGTGTTCTCAAATACATTACAAACACAGTAAGTACATTGTATTTATTTTTTGATGTAAGTACATAGTAGTTAAGGACGCTTAATATAATGTGGGACCAAAAACTGAGTCACAGTTTCCACCACAACACCACCACAGTAATGTTCAGACAAATGTACATATGACTTACTTGTAGGTTCTGCTGTTTGATACTCTGAAGAAGAGCTTGTACTGGCAGGTGGTGCTAAAATATTTACATGTATTAAAATGCTGGAAATTCTATATTGCACAAAGTCAACAGTTCCTTTAGATGTATGTTAACTTACAAAAAATGGCAATGTGTTCAATACTTTTGTTTACCCACTGTATTTAAAAATGAGTAGAGCCCTTACACAACTATCATATCATGGCAGTCCTAATACAAATACTGTAGAATTCCAACACCTCTAATTAAGCTCTACCTATAATTATGATTTCTCAATTAAACTCACTTGAAGCAGCTGATGTTGGAGACACAGTTGATGGAGGGTTTGTTGTGGCAGAGGCTGCTGGGACATTGTTATGGGAAAATTAGGTTACAGTTTCCACCACAATTTCACAAAAGACAAATGTACATACAGTATAGATGACTTACTAGTAGGTTCTGCTGTTTGAGTCACGGTTGTAGTAGAGCTTGTAAAGGCAGGTGGTGCTGAAATGAAATGTTTAGATGTATTGAAAACAAAAGCTTCATTTTGAGGAGTACAGAAATGCTTTTAGGGACATTTTTGCATGCCGTAAAATTTGCACTGCAAGAAATGTTAGAATAGAATATGACTTCAATTATAAACTGCATAAATACTGAAGAGAAATGAAAATGCTGTGCAAATTCCACAAAATCGTGATCATATATTGTCATATTTGTGCTAAGATAATTATAGTTACTCACTTAAAGAAGTGATGGATGTTTGAGTCTCAGTTGAAGGAGTGTTTGTTGTGGCACAGGCTGCTGAGACATTTTGATTAACAAATAGAGTTACAAATTTTAAAAGATTTGTTGACATGCTTACAAAAACACAATATAATCAGTATAATCAGAAGGTGACTTGAAATACCTGCTGCAATAGTTATTATAATTTATATTAACAGCAGAATGGTAAAACTTTCCTGAAATAGTGTTCATAAAACTGTCTTTTACTTACTTGTAGGTTCTGCTGTTTGAGACTCAGTTGTAGAAGAGCTTGCACTGGCTGCAGATGCTGTAATACATAAAGAGAAACTTAAGAAAAGTTTAAATAGAATATGACCTAAACATCAAAATGTGAATATTGCACAAATTCGTTATCATACTTGTCATATTTTTCTGTTGATAAATGTGCTGTACTTGGATAATAATGCTTAGCATTTTAGCCTTCTCTATAAGTGTTTTGCGTGGAAAGGTTTAAGTCTTTTGACAAAAAAATAAATAAAATGAACAAACAAAGGTGAATTTGACTGAGCATAGTTTGTCTATAGGGGCCCTATCATACACCCGGCGCAGTGTGGCGCAAGGCGTGGCGCAGTAGTCTTTTGGTAGTTTCAGCTTGGTGCAAGAGTCGTTTTGAGGCGTTGCGCTACGCTGTTTAAATAGCAAATGCATTAGCGCTCATTTTCGCGGCCATAGGCGTTCTGGTCCAAAAAGGAAGGCGTTCTGAGGCGGACGCTGGCGCGTTGCTATTTTGAGAATCTATAATAGATTTTTCATTAGACCAAAACTAACCCGGTCTAAACTCCGGTGCAGAGTTGCGCCTCGCTTATGCACTGCTTAATACGCACAAGAGAGCAATAGGCAAATATCTTTACATATAAAAAAAATTTAAATATTAAGGATACATATAGGATATAATAAGAATAGATATAGAATATAAATATAAATGATTAAAATATTACAAAACATATTATTTTCTAGCCTACATAAATATGAAAAACCACTGCTTTTATGTCTTCTTCATCTTGGGAGGCTTTTTCAGTTCATTCATAACAATTTGCTTTTGTATATTGTTATTATTATTAGCAGTATTATTTATTATATCTATATTTATATTTGTTTTATTAAAAACAAGCTTAGATTTGCCCAGCTGTCAGGTTTTAGACCATATGGGGCACTGCATGTGTTTTAGGATATAACTCAGGTTTTTGAGCTCATTTTGCTATTATTATTCATTTATTCATTTGCTGGAAATTAGAACTGAATTTAGAAATAGTTTTGAAACGAATATTTGCGCTTAACAAACAAAAGTATTTATTTATAGACTAATTGATGTCTGTGCGTTAAGGTTTCCTTATCCAAGAGCGAAAGTGAAAATGATCCATTATCTCTCATTCTCACGCAGCAGATGCTCTGTTTAACAGTTTTCTGTTAAAAAACTGTGAACTGTTAACTGTTTGCTTGTGAAATGCTCATTTTTTCCACTTAGACTTACTTTGCGTCATGTAAATAGCGAATGCGCTCTTGGCGCGACGCAGCTGACTCTTAAAGGGAATGGGAGATAAGATTCTAATTGGTTTATTCTCAAAACACACCTATAACTCATTAAGAAAATAAACTCAACCCTTTTAGAACATGCGCCGCGGAGCAAGGCAGATTTCCCCGTCCTTAAATTAGCAAAAACGCGCCCTGACACGCCCTGAAAGCATTTGCGCCCTGCGTTTTGCGCTCTGCGCATGGACCGTCAAAATAGAGCCCTAGATGTCCAAAATGTCTATAGATATTTCAAATCATCTTTAACACTAAATATTTGGGTTATGACAAACACAATATGGTAAAATATCAAAATAGTAAAACAGCAAAGGTAAAGAGTTTAGGCAACTATACATAAATATTACTTACTTGTAGGTTCTGCTGTCTCAGTTGTCGTGGAGCTTGTACTGACAAGATATGCTGAAATATTTAGATGAATTAAAAATTATAAAGAATACTGCACAAAATAACATAAATTATTTAAAAAATGATAGATATTTAAAAATAAAAAGAACTTTTACCAAAATATTTAATCATAATAGTCTAGTACAAGTCGTGTCCGAATATTTTAATGAATGGAAAACTAGTTGGTGAGTCCGGCACATTGTTTAAAAGGGTTGTCATTCTTTTAATAAGTTACGGATGTGTTCTGGTAGTAACATGCATTAAATCTGCATTTAATGCTTGATTATTAAGAAGGGGATTTCAAACCCCCGAACTACTGATTATTAAAATAATAGACATAAAATCATTTTAGTGTTACTTACTTGTAGGTTCTGCAGTTTGAGACTCAGTTGTTGAAGAACTTGTACTGATAGTAGGAGCTGAAATATATACATGTATTAAAATGAAAACCAATACTGCACAAAATTACAGATTTTTCATTAGAATTGTTTTATTAGATTGTTAAAAACTTTTCAATATAATTATCATTTCTCTATTAAAATGTTCACACAATAGCCCATGAATAATAAAAAAAACTTACTTGAAGGAGCTGATGTTGGAGACACAGTTGATGGAGGGTTTGTTGTCGCAAAGACTGCTGGGACATTTTAGAGAAATAGAATTAAATTTTCTTAATTAAATCTTATTTTGTAGACATGCTTACAAAAACATAATTAGAAATACTTTAAGTAATAATTAATGCCCATTACATTAACAGCAAAACAGTAAAACATTCCTGAAGTAGTGTTCAGACAACTGTACATGTGTTTTACTTACTTGTAGGTTCTGCTGTTTGAGACTCAGTTGCAGAAGAGTTTGTACTGGCGGGCAATGCTGAAATGTATGAATGTATTGAAAATAGACACTTAAGTTTAAGTAGTACAGAAATGCTTGAAGATACATTTTGCATGCCATAAAATGTATACTCCAAGAAATATTACAATGGACTGAGACTTCAAATATAAACTGCACAAACACATTCTTCAAATGATCACCATATTTTGTCACTGTGATTAGATAATAATGGTTACTCACTTAAAGGAGTTGTGGAAGTTTGAGTCTCAGTTGAAAGAGCATTTGTTGTGGTAGATGCTGCAGAGACATTATGATGAAGAAATATTGATATAATTTTCTTAACATTTGTTGACATGCTTATAAAAATACAACATATACAATAAACTTCAACAAAGCAAGATGGTTTTACACTGATTTATAATAAAAATATTGGATTCAAACAGTACACTCAGGAGGTGATTTAAAACTCCTCAAATTCCTTGAAAATCTCTGAACTAAAACTACAACTCCCAATGGCCATTGCGCCAATCTACTCCTACCACTGTTGACAGTAATCTGGACACTCACAGCTGAAGCCCATCATCATCTGATTTCTTTAATTAAACAAAACGTTTATTTTTTTCAGTTAAACAAAGAGAAAACTGAAGTCATTGCATGTGGAAACAGTGATGAGGTTCTCAAGGTGAATGTGTACCTTGGCTCTGAGGGTCAAACAACAAAAAATAAGGTCAAGAATCTTGGTGTTATTCTGGAGTCAGATCTCAGTTTCAGTAGTCATGTCCATGCGGTAAATAAACCAGCATACTATCATCTCAAAAACATTGCAAGAATTAGATGCTTTGTTTCCAGTGAGAAACTTGTTCATGCTTTTATCAGCATCAGGGTGGATTACTGTAATGGACTCCTCACTGGCCTTCTCAAAAAGACAGCAAGACAGCTCATCCAGAACGTTGCTGTTAGGATTCTGACCAGAACCAGAAAATCACAGTACATCACGCCTTTCCTCAGGTCTTTGACCTGGCTCCCAGTTACATTCAGAATAGTTTTTAAAGTATTTATAATGTATTAATTGTCTATAAATCACTGGCCTAGGAGCTCAATAAATTACAGATATGCTCATTGAATACAAACCTAACAGATCACTCAGATTTCCTTTTCCTGCCTGACAATGTTTTTGACCTTTGTATTGTTTATCTATTAATGTTTTGCTGCCTGTCTTGACCACCTACTACTTTCTGGATTATTTGTATGCTTCAGTTAGCTCCTGTTTTAACCGTTGCCTGCCTGACGATTCTCAAATAAACTGTGAATTATCCCCTCTGTTGTCACCCTGACTACTCACTACAATTTTAATTTACATTAACAGCAGAATGGTTAAACATTCCTGGAATACTTTTCATACAACTGTACTTGTGTATTACTTACTTGTGGGTTCTGCTGTTTGAGAATCTGAAGGGCTTGCACTTGCAGGCGGTGCTGAAATATGTAAATTGATTTAAAATTAGAAACAGTACTTCACAAAATCAAAGATGTCTTTAATATATTTTATTATATTTAACCAAATTTTAAACTAGTTAGTTTTGTTTTCTTTGTATGTATGGATTATTTTAGTTGTTACTGACATCTGCTAAAAGAAAAAAGTCAATAGCACTTTTATAAATATGTTTTCTAAAAAAAAAATGTTGACCTGCTGAAAATTATTACCCGCTGCACTTAAAAATGAGTAGAGCCCTTACAAAAATATCATGTCAAGAAAGTCCTTATATAAAGACAGTAGAATTCCAACACCTCTACTTAAGCTGTTGTTGGAGACACTGTTAATGGAGAGACTGTTGTGGCAGAGGCTGCTGACACATTATGATGAATAAATAGATTTACAGTTTGCTCATGTTTGTTGAAATGTTTATAACACTAAAACAAATACAACACAAAAAATAAATGCAACACTTTTTTGCTCCCATTTTTCATAAGCTAAAATCGAAGATCTAATATTTACAATGTATTGTACTCAAAAGGCCTATTTCTCTCAAATACTTATCACATTCATTTTAATTAGTGTTGCCAATTTATTTTTAGTGACTTTTCAGACCCCCTTAGTGACTTTTTTTTTAATATGTGACTAGAGACAAATCTAGCAACTTTTTTGGTGTTACTGGTGATTTCCTCCCCCACCTCAGAGCACTGACAGGCAGCCCAGTTCTCATACAACAGTCTCTCTAACTTAGTTGGCAACGCTGTTTTAAATATGTTAGTGAGCAATTGATGAGGAGAAAGTCATGAGAAGAAAACTCTGGTCGTAGTGTTCACACAACCACACTGTACCCAGAGTTTTAGAAAATCTTCACCCTGGCCAGAGTTTTTAAAAAGTTTTCAAAAAGACTTGTTCAGTCACACAATACTTGTTTTTTTGTGTGGAAAAACAGCTAAACCATGTATAAAAAATGAGGTTCTGAAAATACCCGTGTTCGCACAAATGTGATGCGATTCACATAAATAATGTGTCACGAGTTGAGCGTTTTGCACATTTGATGCACTTCGATCGAGTTGGAAATACTAAACTTTGGCGAACATTCATTCCATGTTAACCAATCAGGAGCTTGCTCTTGTAGGGGTGTGATAATGATGTAGCACCTATAGTTGGTGTCCAGAAAGAAAATACTCCTTGGCTACGTCGGAAGCACCGCTATCATCCAGGCACAGTTTCTAGAGGAATTGGTGACTCCACATTTAATGTGAAGCGAATTTGACATGCTAATGAAGCGAATTTGACAAACGAATGAAGTGAGTCAACTAAAATATGTTCAATGTCTATTTACGTGCGAATAGCGCAATTTAATTGTGCTTGCCGCATCTGGTGTGAATTCAGCATCAGAGTGGCCAACCTAAAACAAACCTGTGCAATATTCATGCCGTCTAATCAATGGTGCTATTCACACCAATGAAGGCAGCACAAATTACGCGAAACAAAAATAAATCTGTTGAGAAATTAGTTATTAAACTATTATGTTTAAAAATGTATTAAACAGAAATTGGGGAAAAATAAACAGGAGGGCTAATATTTCAGGGGGGCTAATAATTCTGACTTCAACTGTACGCGTGAATAGAACTATTTATTTGTGCTTGCCGCATCTGGTGTGAACAAAGCATCGGAGTGGCCAACCTAAAGCACACCTGTGCAATAATCATGCTGTCTAATCAGCATCTCAATATGCCACACCTGTGAGGTGGATAGATTCAATGCTCACTATCACAGATTTGTTCAAGTAAACATCACATAGTGAACAATATTAATTTTCTTAATTAACTAATTAATTTAGATCTCTGAGTTTAGCTCAATAAAAAAAAGTGTTACAATTATATTTTTTGCTGAGTGTAAGTAGAGCTGCTTACAAAACATTTAATTTTCTTACTATTGCAGATACTGGTGCTTGATGCTCACGAATGTGATTTGAAACACCTGAACTACTGATTATTATAATACTTAAACAACTGTACATATATATTTCTTACTTGTAGGTTCTGTTGTTTGAGTCTCAGTTGTAGAAGCACTTGGACTGGCAGGAGATGCTGAAACATAGAGATGCAATAAAAATATAGTTATGGTAAATTTGACTGACCTTTTTAAAAAAAAGATTTAGATTTTTAACATAATATTTCACTTTTTTGACCCACAATAATCCTGTAGTGAAGATATCTGATTTTCTGACATTTAGGAAACATGACAAGCACACTATGGTTCCTTTTAGATTTATACCTAAAATGTTCACACAATAATCCCTGAAAAAATATATACAGTACTCACTTGAAAGAACTGATGTGGGAGACTCAGTATATGGAGAGTTTGTTGTGGCAGAGGCTGATGGGATATTTTAATGATGAAATAGATGTAAATGACCATTTTTGGAATATTTTGATATTTATTTTGCATATACGATATCATTTTTTACATGTGAAATCTATCTAAACATGAACATATTTAGTACATTTGATGAGTTCAGATGCAAAAACCTCTAAACGCCATCTGAAATTTCCATTAAAAATTGCATTTTTCTCAGCCTCCTTTGATTATGTAGTGTTTTTTTTTCTCTTTAAAGACCATGAAAAGGACTTCTCCTTTGCCATAAAAGTGAAATTACTGAACCTACATACAGGAGCCTGATAAAAATCTCCATTTTAGAAGAAAATTTCAGATGGCATTTAGAGGTTCTTGCATCTAATCTCTTCATATATATTGCTTACTTGTAGGTTCTGCTGTTTGAGGCTCAGTTGTAGAAGAGCTTGTACTGGCAGGAGATGCTGAAACATTGAGATGCAAAAAAATAAAATTATCATGATTTTGACTGACCTTTTTTAAAGTAAGATTTAGATTTTGCAACATAATATTTCACGTTTTTGGTCCACAATATTCCTGTAGTGAAGAATCTGACTTTCTGACATTTAAAGTACATAACAAGCACACAGGGGTTCCTTTTAGATTTATAACTAAAATGTTCACACAATAATCGCAGAAAAAATATATACTGTACTTACTTGAAGGAGCTGATGTGGGAGACACAGTTGATGGAAAATTTGTTGTGGCAAAGGCTGATGGGACATTTTGATGAAGAAATCGACGTAAATTACCAGTTTTGCATTACATTTGAAATATATTTTGGATATATGATATAACTTTTTACATGGAAAATCTATCTAAAACATGAACTCATTTAGTGCATATGAAGAATTCAGATGCAAAAACCTCTAAGCGCCATCTGAAATTTCCATCAAAAAGTAGCATTTTTCTCCGCCTCCTCTGTTTATGTTGTGTTATTTCACTTCAGCAACCATGAAAAGGACTTATCCTTTGCCATAAAAGTGAAATTACTGAACCCACATACAGGAGCCTGATAAAAATGTTCATTTTAGAAGAAAATTTCAGATGGCATTTAGAGGTTCTTGCATCTAATCTCTTCATATATATATATTGCTTACTTGTAGGTTCTGCTGTCTCAGTTGTAGTAGAGCTTGTACTGGCAGGAGATGCTGAAATATTTAGATAAATTACAAATTATAAAGAATACTACACAAAATAACATAAATTATTTAAAAAATGATAGATATTTAAAAATAAAAAGAACTTTTACCAAATATTTAATCATGATAGTCTAGTAGAATTCCAACAGCATTAATTAAACTGTACCAATAACTTTAATTTTCCAATCACCAAGGGCCCTATTTGAATAATCTAAGCGCATGATCTAAAGAGCAGGTTCACAAGTTGTGTCAGAATATTTTAATGAATGGAAAATTAGTTGGTGAGTCCGGCGCATTGTTTAAAAGGGTTGTCATTCTTTTAATAAGTTACGGATGTGTTCTGGTAGTAACATGCATTAAATCTGCATTTAATGCTTGATTATTAAGAAGGGGATTTCAAACCCCCGAACTACTGATTATTAAAATAATATACATAAATCATTTTAGTGTTACTTACTTGTAGGTTTTGCCGTTTGAGACTCAGTTGTAGAAGAACTTGTACTGATAGTAGGAGCTGAAATATATACATGTATTAAAATGAAAACCAATACTGCACAAAATTACAGATTTTTCATTAGAATTGTTTTATTAGATATTTAAAAACTTTTCAATAAAATTATCATTTCTCTATTAAAATGTTCACACAATAGCCCATGAATAATAAAAAAAAACTTACTTGAAGGAGCTGATGTTGGAGACACAGTTGATGGGGGGTTTGTTGTGGCAAAGACTGCTGGGACATTTTAGAGAAATAGAATTAAATTCTCTTAATTAAATCTTATTTTGTAGACATGCTTACAAAAACATAATTTGAAATACTTTAAGTAATGATTAATGCCAATTACATTAACAGCAAAACAGTAAAACCTTCCTGAAGTAGTGTTCAGACAACTGTACATGTGTATTACTTACTTGTAGGTTCTGCTGTTTGAGACTCAGTTGCAGAAGAGTTTGTACTGGCGGGCAATGCTGAAATGTATGGATGTATTAATAAATAGACAACTAATTTTAAGTAGTACAGAAATGCTTGAAGATACATTTTGCATGCCATAAAATGTATACTCCAAGAAATATTACAATATACTGAGACTTCAAATATAAACTGCACAAACACATTCTTCAAATGATCACCATATTTTGTCACTGTGATTAGATAATAATGGTTACTCACTTAAAGGAGTTGTGGAAGTTTGAGTCTCAGTTGAAAGAGCATTTGTTGTGGTAGATGCTGCAGAGACATTATGATGAAGAAATATAGATATAATTTTCTTAACATTTGTTGACATGCTGACAAAAACACAACATATACAATAAACTTCAACAAAGCAAGATGGTTTTACACTGATTTATAATAAAAATATTGGATTCAAACAGTACACTCAGGAGGTGATCTGAAAATCCTGAAATTCCTTGAAGATCACTGAACTGAAACTACAACTCCCAATGGCCATTGCGCCAATCTACTCCTACCACTGTTGACAGTAATCTGGACACTCACAGCTGAAGCCCACCATCATCTGATTTCTTTAATTAAACAAAACATTTATTTTTTTCAGTTAAACAAAGAGAAAACTGAAGTCATTGCATGTGGAAACAGTGATGAGGTTCTCAAGGTGAATGTGTACCTTGGCTCTGAGGGTCAAACAACAAAAAATAAGGTCAAGAATCTTGGTGTTATTCTGGAGTCAGATCTCAGTTTCAGTAGTCATGTCCATGCGGTAAATAAACCAGCATACTATCATCTCAAAAACATTGCAAGAATTAGGTGCTTTGTTTCCAGTGAGAAACTTGTTCATGCTTTTATCAGCATCAGGGTGGATTACTGTAATGGACTCCTCACTGGCCTTCCCAAAAATACAGCAAGACAGCTCATCCAGAACGTTGCTGTTAGGATTCTGACCAGAACCAGAAAATCACAGTACATCACGCCTCTCCTCAGGTCTTTGACCTGGCTCCCAGTTACATTCAGAATAGTTTTTAAAGTGTTTATAAAGTATTAATTGTCTATAAATCAATTAATGGCCTAGGAGCTCAATAAATTACAGATATGCTCATTGAATACAAACCTAACAGAACACTCAGATTTCCTTTTCTTGCCTGACAATGTTTTCGACCTAAGATTGTTTATCTATTAATGTTTTGCTGTCTGTCTTGACCATCTACTACTCTCTGGATTACCTGCATGCTTCAGTTCGCTCCTGTTTTGACCATTGCCTGCCTGACGATTCTTAAATAAACTGTGAATTATCCCCTCTGTTGTCACCCTGACTACTCATTACAATTTTAATTTACATTAACAGCAGAATGGTTAAACATTCCTGGAATACTTTACATACATTTGTACTTGTGTATTACTTACTTGTGGGTTCTGCTGTTTGAGAATCTGAAGGGCTTGCACTTGCAGACGGTGCTGAAATATGTAAATTGATTTAAAATTAGAAACAGTACTTCACAAAATCAAAGATGTCTTTAATATATTTTATTACATATAACCCAATTTTAAACTAGTTAGTTTTGTTTTCTTTGTATGTATGGATTATTTTAGTTGTTACTGACATCTGCTAAAAGAAAGAAGTCAATAACACTTTTATAAATATGTTTTCTAAAAAAAAATGTTGACCTGCTGAAAATTATTACCCGCTGCACTTAAAAATGAGTAGAGCCCTTACAAAAATATCATGTCAAGAAAGTCCTTATATAAAGACAGTAGAATTCCAACACCTCTACTTAAGCTGTTGTTGGATACACTATTAATGGAGAGACTGTTGTGGCAGAGGCTCCTGAGACATTATGATCAATAAATAGATTTACAGTTTGCTTATGTTTGTTGAAATGTTTACAAACACATTTTGCACTGCATTATAGACTATTGTACACATTTCAAATATGAATATAACACTAAAACAAATACAACACAAAAAATAAATGCAACACTTTTTTGCTCCCATTTTTCATGAGCTAAAATCGAAGATCTAATATTTACTATGTATTGTACTCAAAAGGCCTATTTCTCTCAAATACTTATCACATTCATTTAAATTAGTGTTGCCAACTTATTTTTAGTGACTTTTCAGACCCCCTTAGTGACTTTTTTTTTTTTTTAAGTGACAAGAGACAAATCTAGCGACTTTTTTGGTGTTATTGGTGATTTCCTCCCCCACCTCAGAGCACTGACAGGCGGCCCAGTTCTTGTAAAACAGTCTCTCTAAATTAGTTGGCAACGCTGTTTTAAATATGTTAGTGAGCACTTGATGAGGAGAAAACCATGAGAAGAAAACTCAGGCTTGTTCAGTCACATAATACTTGTTTTTTTTGTGTGGACAAACAGCTAAACTATGTATAAAAAAAGTGAGGTTCTGAAAATACCCGTGTTCGCAAAAATGTGATGCGATTTGCACAAATGATGTGTCACGAGTTGAGCATTTTGCACATTTGACGCACTTCGCTCTTGTAGGGGTGTGATTATAATGTAGCACCTATAGTTGGTGTCCAGAGAGGAAATACTCCTTGGCTATGTCGGAAGCACCGCTAACAGCTTCCATCATCCAGGCACAGTTTCTAGAGGAATTGATGACTCCACATTTAATGTGAAGCGAATTTAACGAGCGAATAAAGCGAGTAAACTGAAAATGTTCAATATCTATTTACGTGCGAATATAGTAATTTAATTGTGCTTGCCGCATCTGGTGTGAACAAAGCATCGGAGTGGCCAACCTAAAACACACCTGTGCAATAATCATGCTGTCTAATCGGCATCTCAATATGCCACACCAGTGAGGTGGATAGATTCAATGCTCACTATCACAGATTTGTTCAAGTAAACATCACATAGTGAACAATATTAATTTTCTTAATTAATTAATTAATTTAGATCTCTGAGTTTAGCTCAATAAAAAAAGTGTTTCAATTATATTTTTTGCTGAGTGTAAGTAGAGCTGCTTACAAAACATTTAATTTTCTTACTATTGCAGATACTGGTGCTTGATGCTCACGAATGTGATTTGAAACACCTGAACTACTGATTATTATAATACTTAAACAACTGTACATATATATTTCTTACTTGTAGGTTCTGTTGTTTGAGTCTCAGCTGTAGAAGCACTCGGACTGGCAGGAGATTCTGAAACATAGAGATGCAATAAAATATAGTTATGGTAAATTTGACTGACCTTTTTTAAAAAAAAGATTTAGATTTCGCAACATAATATTTCACTTTTTTGACCCACAATAATCCTGTAGTGAAGATATCTGATTTTCTGACATTTAGGAAACATGACAAGCACACTATGGTTCCTTTTAGATTTATTCCTAAAATGTTCACACAATAATCCCTGAAAAAATATATACTCACTTGAAGGAACCGATGTGGGAGACTCAGTAGATGGAAAGTTTGTTGTGGCAGAGGCTGATGGGACATTTTGATGAAGAAATAGATGTAAATGACCATTTTTGCAATATTTTGATATTTATTTTGCATATACAATATCATTTTTTACATGTGAAATCTATCTAAACATGAACATATTTAGTACATTTGATGAGTTCAGATGCAAAAACCTCTAAACGCCATCTGAAATTTCCATTAAAAATTGCATTTTTCTCAGCCTCCTTTGATTATGTAGTGTTTTTTTTCTCTTTAAAGACCACGAAAATGACTTCTCCTCTGCCATAAAAGTGAAATTACTGAACCTACATACGGTAGCCTGATAAAAATGTCCATTTTAGAAGAAAATTTCAGATGGCATTTAGAGGTTCTTGCATCTAATCTCTTCATATATATTGCTTACTTGTAGGTTCTGCTGTTTGAGACTCAGTTGTAGAAGAGCTTGTACTGGCAGGAGATGCTGAAACATTGAGATGCAAAAAAAATACAATTATCATGAATTTGACTGACCTTTTTTAAAGTAAGATTTAGATTTTGCAACATAATATTTAACTTTTTTGGTCCACAATAATCCTGTATTAAAGAATCTGACTCTCTGACGTTTAAAGTACATGACAAACACACAGGGGTTCCTTTTAGATTTATAACTAAAATCTTCACACAATAATCCCAGAAAAAATATATACTCACTTGACAGAGCTGATGTGGGAGACTCAGTTGATGGAAAGTTTGTTGTGGCAAAGGCTGATGGGACATTTTGATGAAGAAATAGACGTAAATGACCATTTTTGCATTACATTTGAAATATATTTTGAATATACGATATAACTTTTTATGTGGAAAATCTATCTAAAACATGAACTTATTAAGTACGTATGAAGAGTTCAGATGCAAAAACCTCTAAGCGCCATCTGAAATTTCCATTAAAAATGTGTATTTTTCTCAGCCTCCTTTGTTTATGTTTTGTTATTTCACTTCAGCGACCATGAAAAGGACTTCTCCTTTGCCATATAAGTGAAATTACTGAACCTACATACAGGAGCCTGATAAAAATGTTCATTTTAGAAGAAAATTTCAGATGGCAATTAGAGGTTCTTGCATCTAATCTCTTCATATATATATTGCTTACTTGTAGGTTTTGCTGTTTGAGTCTCAGTTGTAGAAGAGCTTGTACTGGCAGGAGATGCTGAAATATTAAGATGCAATAAAAATAGAATTATGGTAAATTTGACTAACCTTTTTTAAAAATAAGATTTAGATATATGTGAAATCTAAGCATGAAATTGTTTAGTACATATACATGACTTACTTGTGAGTTCTGCTGTTTGAGACTCAGTTGTAGAAGAACTTGTACTGACAGGAGGTGCTGAACATTTAAATGTAGTGTATTAGAAACAATTTATCAAATAAAATATAAACACAACAGGATTCAGACAGCTGTACATGTTTATTACTTACTTGTAGGCTCTGCTGTTTGAGTTGTAGAAGGGCTTGTACTTGCAGGTGGTGCTGAAATATTTAGAGGTGTTTAAAAATAGAAGCTTAAATTTAAGCTCCACAAAAATGAAAAAAATGAGCGTTTTGCACAAAATCATTATCATATAGTGTCATATTTTGCCACTGTGCTAAGATAATAATGGTTACTCACTTGAATGTTTTGTGACTGTTTGAGTTTCAGTTGTTGGAGAGTGTGCTGTGGCAAAGGCTGCTGGGATATTTAGATATGGTTACAATTGTCTTAATATTTGTTGACATACTTACAAAAGCACAATATATGCCATACCTGCCAACACTCCTGTTTTTCACAGGAGTTTCCCATATTTCAGACCCATCTCCCATTTTGTTATTTCTCCTGGAAAACTCTTGTAATTCCACCGCACCCAACGCTCCTACCCCAGATCCTCAGTTTTTTTGTACAATCTTTAACACTCCCTGATCGGCGACTTTGGTATACTATCAGATCACAGTGGCTGCCCGAAACCCGATGCATAGTACAGACACCTAGACTTTCCCACCCCTCTGCCACCATTTTCAGATACAAACTAATGTTGGCAGGTATGATATATGCAATAAAACAATGCAAGATGTTTTTACACAGATTTCTAATACAAACAATAGATTCAAACAGTACACTCAGGAGGTGATTTGAAATTCTAAATCACAAGTGTCAAACTCAGTTCCTGGAGGGCCGCAGCTCTGTGCAGTACTTACAATCCTATTTAAATACAACTGAACAAACTAACTGAGTCCTTCGGGCTTGTTTGAAACCTACATGTAAGTGTGTTGAAGCAGAGTTGAAACTACACTGTGGGTGCTGTGGCCCTCCAGGAACTGAGTTTGACACCCCTGTTCTAAATTATAATTTACATTAACAGCAGAATGGTAAATCTTTCCTGACGTGTTCATTCAATTGTTCATATATATTACTTACTTGTGGGTTCTGCTGTTTGAGACTCGGAAGGGCTTGTACTTGCATGCGTTGCTGAAATATGTAAACATATTAAAATTAGAAACAATATCTAAAAAATTAAAAATGTCTTTAATAAATTTTGTAACACATTTTGTAAAATAAGGCTGCACGGTGGCGCTGTGAGTAGCACGTTCGCCTCACAGCAAGAAGGTTGCTGGTTCGAGCTTCGACTGAGTCAGTTGGCGTTTATATGTGGAGTTTGCATGTTCTCCCTGTGTTCGCATGGATTTCCTCCGGGTGTACTGGTTTCCCCCACAAGTCCAAAGACATGCGGTACAGGTGCATTGGGTAGGCTAAATTGTCCATAGAGAATGAGTGTGAATGAGCGTGTATGAATGTTTCCCAGCTGTGGGTTGCAGATGGAAGGGCATCTGCTGCGTAAAACATATGCTGGATAAGTTGGCGGTTCTTTCCACTGTGGCGACCCCAGATTAATAAAGGGACTAAACCGAAAAGAAAATGGATGAATGAATTGTAAAATAACTGACAGGCAGTGCTGTAATATTTAAAAGTATAAAAAATAGGAACTTTTGTTTAAACACCCGCTGTATTTTAAAATGAGTAGTGCCTTACAAAAATATCAACTCATGAAAGACTTAAAAGTAATACAGCTTGTGCAGATCGCTGAAGAACTAAAAACTTGCCACTTTAAAGAACTACATAACCAATCATGCACCGCTCACACGCACCTGTTCCTCTTTCAGTTTGAATACACACACAGCCGGAGGATTGTTAGACGGATAACAGTGACTTTAAATACAGCGCGCACACACACACACACACACACACACACACACACACACACACACACACACACACACACACACACATACACACACATCTGGGCTTAGTCTTGTTTACTGTATTTGTGACATTTCAATGCATTTCCTTTGCCTTGCCATGTTAGACCCTTGCCTTGCTTTATTGTTTAATCCTGTCTGCTGCCTGCCTGTACTGACCATTCATCTGTTTATTGACTACGACTCTGGATTGCCTGTATAGACTTGTTTGTTCTTGGTTGACCATTGCTTGCCTGAAAGTTTATTACAAAAATGTTGTAACAAAATTACAAACGCAAAAAAACTGTTCATATATATTACTTACTTGTAGGTTCTGCTGTTGGAGACTCAGTTGTAGAAGAGCTTGTACTAACAGGGAGTGCTGAAATATGGAGATGTATTTTAAAAAATAGAAACAATTTTGCACATAATTGCAGAAATTATACTAGAGACCTAACAAAATATGTTATCATGACAGTCAGAATACAAACACAGCAGAATTCCAACACCTCTAATTAAGGTGACCTATAATCATCATTCTACAATTTAAATGTTCACACAATCTAGCAATAAAAAAAAAAAATCACTTGAAGCAGCTGATGTTGGAGACACAGTTGATGGAGAGTTTATTGCAGCAGAGACTGCTGGGACATTTTGATAAATAAATGAATTTGCAGTTTCCACCACAACAGTATTCAGACAACTGTACATGTGTATTACTTACTTGTAGGTTCTGCTGTTTGAGACTCAGTTGTGGAAGAGCTTGTACTGGCAGGGAGTGCTGAAATATTTACATGTATAAAAACAGAAACATTATTGTGCAAAACAAGAAAAGAATCACAGAAATTGTATTTGAAAAAGAAGCAGATATTTAAAAATTAATAGTGGTCTTACAAAAATTGCATATCATGACAATCCTAATATGAATATGCACTGTCTGACAAAAGTCTTGTCGCCCAACCAAGTTCTAGGAACAAAAAATAATAACTTCTAGTTGATCATTTGGTATTAGAAGTGGCTTATATTAAAGGCAAAGGCCTTTGGATTACGCTTATTTTACCAAAATAAAATATGATCATCCCATGATTTTTATTTATTTAATTAGGATAGTAAGGTCTGACTTTGCTTAGAATATAGAATAGAGTATATAGATTATAGAATATAAAGTCATGGTGCAGTCGAAAATCAATTCATATTGTGTATGACTCCCATGAGCTTGGAAGACTGCATCCATACATCTCTGCAGTGACTCAACTTATTATTGAAGTCATCTGGAATGCCAAAGAAAATGTTCTTACAGAACTCCCAGAGTTCATCAAGATTCTTTGGATTCATCTTCAATACCTCCTCCTTCATCTTACCCCAGACATGCTCAATAATGTTCATGTCTGGTGACTGGGCTGGCCAATCCTGGAGCAACTTGACCTTATTTGCTTTCAGGAACTTTGATGTGGAGGCTTAAGTTTGAGAAGGAACGCTGTCCTGCTGAACAATTTGCCCTCTCCTGTGGTTTGTAATGTAATATGCAGCACAAATGTCTTGATACCTCAGGCTGTTGATGTTTTCATCCATTCTGCAGATCTCTCGCATGCCCCCATACTGAATGTAACCCCATATCATGATTTTTCATTCATCAAACTTGACTGATTTCTATGAGAATCCATGTGGGTTCCAGTAGGTCATCTGCAGTATTTATGATGATTATGATGCCATTTACCAGATGATTCATCAGAAAAATCTACCTTTTGCCACGTTTCCAATTGATCAACTGATAAAATGATTATTATTTGTTGATTTTACAACTGGGAGCGACGACAAGACTTTTGTCAGGTAGTGTAATTGAACACCAACACTTAAACTGGAAATATACTTATAATTTTCCAATTAAAATTTAAATACAATAGTCTATTAATTAAAAACTCACTTGAAGGAGCTGATGTTGGAGACACAGTTGATGGAGAGTTTGTTGTAGCAGAGACTGATTACATTTTGAAAAAAAAAAAGAATTACACTTTCATTAAGTTGACATGTTTAAGAAAACATGTTTTAATACAATGAAATTGAGCATTGCAAGAACAGTAGCAGATTTTAAAATAACTATATGAACACAGCAGTATTCAGACAACTGTATGTATATATCACTTACTTGTAGGTTCTGCTGTTTGAGAAGTTGTAGAAGAGCTTACACTGGCAGGAGATGCTGAAATAGTTATTAGAATATTAAAAATGTTAAAAAAATTAAAAATGGAAACTTCATTCTAAGTACTACAAAATAGCTTAAAAACACTTTTGCAAAACATATAGAATTACGCTTCCCCTATGTTTGTTGGCATGTTAACAAATTTTTTGTAGCTATGAAATGCTGCATTGCAAGAACAGTTAAAATTTATAAAAATGCATATATAAACACAACAGTACTCAGACAGCTCTACATATTTATTACTTACTTGTAGGCTCTGCTGTTTGTGTTGTAGAAGGGCTTGTACTTGCAGGTGGTACTGAAATATTTAGATGTATTTAAAAATAGAAGCTTAAATTTGGGCACCACACAAATTTGCATATTGCACAAAACTATTTTCATATATGATTTTAAACAGTGTTCTGACAACTGTACATATATATACTGTATGTACTCACTTGTAGGTTCTGCTGTTTGAGACTCAGCTGTAGAAGAGCTTGTACTTGCAGGGAATGCTGAAATATTTAGATGTATTAAAAAATAGAAACAATTTTGCACAAAATTGCTGAAATTATACTTAAA